CTTGCCCCTTCCTCCTTTCCTCCCTTGATCTTCCCTCTTCCTCCCTTCTGCCTCCCTCGTCCCCTCTTACTTTCTCCCTGGCCTCCTTCGTCTCTTATTTTCTTCCCTCTTCCTCTTCCCCCCTCCATTTGTCCCTTTCCCGCTTTCCTCCTTCCTTCTCCGTTCTTAACTCTCTTAACTCTTCTTTCTTCTCTTCCCTCCCTTTCTTTCTTCTCTTCCTTCCCTCACTTCTTCCTCCCCTTTCTGTCTGGCCTCTTTCGTCTCTTATTTCTCCCTTCCTCCTTCTATACCTTCCTTTGTTCCTTTCCTGCTTTCTCCCCTTCCTTCCTTCTCCATTCTGACCTTCTTTCTTCTCTTCCCTCTCCTTCCTCCCTTCCCCCGTGTTTTTCCCTACTTCCTTTTTCCTCCCCTCCTGCCACGTCCCTTCCCCCTGCTTCCTCCACTTTCCTTCCCCTGCTCTCTCCCTTCGTTTCATTCTTATTTTTCTGACTTCCCCCTTTTTCCTTCCGCTATTCTTTTTACTTTTCTTTCTTACTTCCTCCTTTTGCTCGCTGCTTTGCTTCCTCTTTCCCTCCCCTGCTTCTCCCTTCTCCATTTGATTCCCTCCTCCCTTTCCCCATTTCCTCCCTCCCTTTCCTTTTTCGTTTTCTTTCTGACTTCCTCCTTTACCTTTTGCTCGCTTGCCTTTTGCTCGCTTGCCTTCCTTCCCCTTCCCCTTTTCTTCTCTTTCCTCTCCCCTTTCCCTCCCTGCCTTCCCCCCTCCATTCACTCCTCCCGTCCCTCTCCTTCTCCCTCTCTTTCTTCCATTCCCTCTCCTCCTCCCTATCTTTCTTCCATTCCTCCTCTCTCTTCCGTTATTTTCTTTCTTCCTTCCTTCCTTTCCTTTTGTCCTTTCTTCCCTTGCTCCACTCTCTTCATTTTCCCCCTCCCTCTTTCCCTCCCCTCCTTCACCCCTCTTTCCCCCCTTCGCTTCTACCCTTGGATTTTCCTCTCTTCCCCACTCCCTCCCTTTTATTTTTCTCTCCCACCCACTCCCTACCCTTCCTCCCTTTTTTTCTTCGCTTCCTTTGACCCTTAACCCTCTCTTCCTTTCCTCTTTCTCTCTTGATCCGTCCTTCCAACGTCCCTTCCTCCTTGCTACTTTGAGTCAACCACAAGCTGATCCAATACACCACCAGTAACGGAACCAGACAAATCGCGTCCCGTTTTCGTACATGCATTGACAAGGTGTCTGCGGATCACGTTGCCCGAGTAAGTTCCCTGCCCCCTTCAGCTTCGACTCTTGCTTATGCCCACGCTGACAACCTCACGACACAGCGGCGCGACGCTAGACATGGAAAAGGGCCATATCTCACTCACACCCTATTCTGTTGTGGAACAACTCGTGGCAAGGGGGGAGGTTGAACTCATCTGATGTAAATTACTATTATTGTATTACAATTCGTGCATGCATGAACAGCTTATGTTCCTGCTCATCACCATCTTCATCGCCCACAAGATTCATCTATAGAGGCAGATCATCCAAAAATATGCATGTGTGGCCAACCAAAATTCCCGCTTAACTTCCCGCTTAACTTCGCGTTAGTTACAGATAAAGTAAATAAGTGTTCAGGAAATTCGTGTCACGAATAACCTGAATTTGCATAAGTCTTGCCCGAACTAGGTGAGCCTGTGCGTGCGAGCAAGACTTGTGCGTCTGATGCTCAAATGTGGTAAGTACTTGCCGAAGCCAACCGGCTGTACCAACCCGAGTGTAAACTCACAACGGCGGGTTGGTGAGGCAAGGACGAGCCAAGCTGGCTACCCAAATTGAGTGTCACTCGGATTTAAGTCTCGCCAGCCAAATAAGCACGAAGATATAGCATTTTGAGGTATGTAAGGAGAATTTTCTATAGACTATTGAGATGTGTAAGAGGGGACTTCTATAATCTAGTGTGATGAGTCATGGGAAGTGAAGTTGTCAAGTAGAGCAGAGGGGATTTTGTGAGTTATACGAAATTGTTCGAATATAGAGGCAAGTAGGTCGAGATGTGCTTTGTTGTAAGCTTTTGAGGTGGACATGGGGAGGATTTCGTCCATGCGGCGCCAGTAGAGTAGGAAAGCGAGGGAAGTCCATCCGCCTGTTGCAGCCACGATTTCTGGGGGCACCCCTGCGAGCAGAAGCTCCACGGCCCCGCCAATGCGGAAGCTGTGTCCCAATACGTGGGCGAGCAATGCGGATGACCAGATTCCTGTGACAAAGTGGAGGAATTCGTTTTTGAGGAGATTCTTCGGATTGCCGGAGGTCGACATGTAGGCAAAGAGAGCTGATGAGGAGGGGACTGAGGAGTTGACGTGGAGGTGGTTTCTGAGGGCCTCGACTGGACACAGAGGATCACCTTCACGACGCGCAGTGAGGATCACGGTAGCCCCGAGCTCCTTTGTTGTCTTGGTCCAAGGGACCTGGAAGCTGGCAGAGCGGGCAACATCCCGCAGTACACGGAATGAGACTTTGGCAGAGCGCGTGACATGGTATGTACTGTCGAAAGAGGCAGCAACTGCCACAGTTGTTTCGCCAAGGCGACGGCAACCGAAAAAGGTGACGAGGGCGACGGCCCATACTGCAGCGTGAAAGTGAGTGGACAGGTCCAAAGAGCGGCGGAGACAGGACAAGTGCTCTATGAAGACGCGGCGGGGCCCTGAGAGGGCGTCTGTGCTTCGTGCCCTCCTTGTTTGCGGAAGTGCGAGCAAGGTGGACCCAGTCGTCGTCGCCATACCAAGGCGCGTGGTTCATGACATGCCAGCTGCGAAGGCCTGCCAGCCAGGAGCGGATCGTGTTGCCGGACTGGAGGCCTTTGTATTCACCTATGAAGGCGCATAGAAGGACGTAGTCAGCGGGCATCCGAGCCTCCTCAGTTATTCCCCACTTGTCGCAAAATTGGGTGAAGCGCAGAGGCCCGGCTCCATATGTAGTTTTTGTGTTGGGAGCTAAGGCTCCTCGGACAGCCATGAGTGCGGATTCAATGAGTGGGGCAGGGAGTCTTTGTGATATGTGGGTGTGATGACGCGAGCCGAAAGGGGTGCACCATGAAAAAATGCGGTCTGCCGCAGGTACATGTGGGCGAAGTTCGTTGTGGGTGATAGAACGACCAGAGTGGGGTTTGCGGGGACGTATGTTGCGTGGGTAAGGAAGAAGGGGCTGGCAAGTAGGAGAGGTCAGTGGGCTGGAAGATGGGAGGTTGTGTGATTTTAGTGGAGGGGTGTGCACCGGGACAAGTGAAACCGGATGGGTAGGGGAAGGAGGAAGTTGGGGACGCAGAAATGGGTGAAAGGTGTTTCGAGGACGCGTGGGGCGCGGTGAGATAGAGATGGGGGATTTTATCTTACCCACGGACCTCTCGGCGACACAAGTCGACGATGTGAGCTTGCGGTCGAGGCTAAACATGGATGAAGCAATCAATTAGCTCATGAGGGAGCCTGAACGTATGGGAGAGTTGCCTCCCAGCTTTCCCTAGTCCTGTTTTCTTCGCGCCCCAAAAACCGCGTCAGGAAATGTTTATGTGCTCCCTCTTGGCTTTCTACGTGTTTACAGCCCTACTATCCTCCTTTCCTATCACAATTATAATATATTATATTCAAACTTCAATTAGTATGGAAAACAACGTCAGAACTGTCCGAATCTATAAGAAAACGCCTGTGTTTGAGGTGCCGGAAGCCCCACATTATATCGCGCATTTTCCGCCCTCTGCCTCGAATTTTGGGCGCTCGTTGGATTTCCGCATGAGGAGGAAGTCGCCTTGAAGAAAAAAACCACACTTTTGCAAACAGACGTTGTTGGGGCCCCGGGTTCCAATGTCGCACTGAGGCCAACAACGAATATCGATAACGGAAAGTGTCCATGGAAGAAGGTTCTGATAGCTTCGAATGCTGGATGGAATGAAAGGCCCCATTCAATGATCAGGTGGACTGCATGTAAACACGACGTTGGATCGAAAAGTCAGGCTCTCCATCAGCAAAACAACAATAACATTGGTTCACTTTGTAGTCTTTGTAAGGTTCGCAAAACCTTACGAGGTTTTGCTCCACCTCTCAATGTAGTATAATCATAGTATAAAGTATAGAATGTACACTAAAACTATTTGGCATCATCCAATATTGGGGAAAGTTGTTGAAGGGATTCAAGGTTAATGGCATTTTTGCAACGACATTGGAAGCTAGGGCTAAATTATTTTGCATATTCTATGGTCATGCAAGGATACAATTTGAATCTCAGCGCTCGATGAAAAACACGATTAAGTACAAGCCCATGAAGCTGTCATCTTTACAGAGCATTGTGGACTCAAACTCCAGCGCTTGTAGTATGCACCCTCTCGTACTTACCAGCGGCAACTTCTATGTAACTCCGAGTTCAAGCGGAGTTTAATAGTTCGCGAACTGTGACATCATACATAAAGGACAAAGTCCGACTTAAAAACTATTTCAAGTACCTTCCTCTCTGCCCCCATCCACCCCCTCACTCTTACAGTGTGCTTACTTTCCCATTCTTGTGCGCGACTATCCCCAGTGCCAACTGCGCGTCCTAGCGACCTGGAGCCGACTCGCTCACTTAGCAATAGTTATGGCGAACCGTCGGCGGGAATGGAGAAGCAAAGTTGTGGAAGTTAAGTTGGGGAGGTACTGACTCTGAGGTAGGTTCTCATAGCGAGAATCCACAGCCATCTTTTACTTACACATTCACACTACAACTAGGTCTGTCGTTGGCCGTACGGTATGTGCTTCTTTCTATGCCAAGTTCTACATGCGTTGAATGTTGCAAATTACAGGTATTCAGGCGCATATATGCGATGGGACGTGCTTAT